TCAGTTGTGAAGCTTAGTTTGGCTGGATATGAAATTCTGGGCTGAAGGTTCTGTTCTTTGAGGATGTTGAATATCGGCCCCCACTCTCTTCTGGCTTGTAGAGTTTCTGCCGAGAGATCTGCTGTAAGTCTGATAGGCTTGCCTTTGTGGGTTATCTGACCTTTCTCTCTGGCTGCCCTTAGTATCCTCTCCTTCGTTTCAACCCTGGTGAATCTAACGATTATGTGCCTTGGGGTTGCTCTTCTTGAGGAATATCTTTGTGGTGTTCTCTGTATTACCTGGGGTTGAATGTTGACCTGCTTTGCTAGTTTAGGAAAATTTTCCTGAATAATATCCTGAAGGGTATTTTCCAGCTTGGATTCATTCTCTCCGTCGCATTGAGGTACACCTATCAAACGTAAATTTGGTCTTTTCACATAGTCCCACATTTCTTGGAGACTTTGCTCATTCCTTTTTATCCTTTTTTCTCTAATCTTTTCTTCACGTTTTATTTCATTAAGTTGGACTTTGACCTCTGATATCCCTTCTTCTGCTTGAACAATTCAAGTGTTTAAACCTGTGCATACTTCTCGGAGTTCCTGTATTGTATTCTTCAGTTCCATTAATTCACTCATACTCCGCTCTAAGTTGTCTATTCTCAATAGGATTTCATCAAACCTTTTTTCAAAGTTCCTAGTTTCTTTACGTTGGGCTACAACATGTTCTTTTAACTCACCGAAGTTTGTTATTATCCATTCCTTGAAGAGTGATTCTGTCATCAGGAGGCGCTCGTTCTCCATCAAGCCTTGTTCCATTGTTGATGTGGAACTGTGATCATCTTTAGAGGGAGAGGCGTTCTGACTTTGAGTATTCTCAGCTTTTTTACGCTGGTTTCTTCCCACCATTGTAAATTTATCCTCCTGTCCTCTTTGAAATTACCAACTTTCAGATTAGGTCTCTTGAGTGGACGTCCAGGTTGTTAGTTCCCAGGGCCAGAGCAGCGGCGTTAAAACTGATGGTGCTTTTCTACCCAGGATTCTCCTGTCGGGCTTCCTTCTTGTTTCCGTAGTAGGTGACTCTGGCTTCCTGGGGCTCCAAACCTCGGTCAGAAGGGGAACTGGTCTCGTTTACTCTGCGCCGAGCGCTGCCGTGTGGAGGTGCCGGCGGAACCACTGCGCCGACCACGAGAGTCGCGCTGGCGACTCGTGTGTTTCCACCACTGGGGGATCTTCTGCTCCGTGAGCGACCAGACTTTGTCTGAAAGTGTGGCGTCCTCTAGTTCTCCACGCCTTCCCTGAGAGCTGCAATCCCGGGATGTCAGCGATCGGCCATCTTGGATCGTTCTCCGTGACAGAGTTCTTATATGTTATTCTTATATAGTCAAATAAAATTTCCTTTTTCATTTGTGAAACTTGCATTTTTATGTAGGAAATTTTAAATTTCACAGCCTGTATATTATTTTAGGGTTTTGTGCCCAGAACACTCACATACACACTAGACATCAATGAAATCACCTTGGAAAAAATACTTCGTTTCCCCAGTCACCATGTGCCTACATTTTGCTAGTCAATTCTAAAGTTGCTAAGCAGATAAAGCTAGCAAAGGGCACCCAAAATGACACTTATCTTTGCATTGGAGGTTAAGACAAAATACCTTAAGGAGTCGGAAAAAAAAAAAAAAGAAAAAACTTGAAGAGTCTACAGGGGGACAAGAACATAACCAGAGTTACCCATGTGGTAGAAACAAAGATGTAAAAAATATAATAAAACCCAAGGAAAAGAGGCATTCTCTCAGATGCTGTTAAGGAGAGGATAAACTGGGGTGATCTCTTTGGAGGATGACATTGAGTGGTTTATCAAAATTTCAAACAAGCATATCCTTTTCTACAATAATTTCACTGCTATGATATTACCTATGAATTAACTGCAAAAGTATTCACATATAACAAGGATATATAAGAACATTAGATATAACATGATATATAACCACAAAAATTAAAATAATCTAAATGTTTACAGTAGGGCACTGTTTAAATAAATTATGGTACAATCATAAAATGAAATACTATGCAGCACTGAAAAGAATAAGACCTGTATCTCTAAGACATACATAATTTAGTGCACAAAAAGCAAGGTACAGAACAAGCAGAATGCAAGCCTACTGGGATGTATGTATATATGTGTATATGTGCATAAAAGGTTTAGGAATTTTCAGCTTTCATTTTTTTGTTTATTTCCTAAGCACACATATGAGAAACTGTAAACAGTGGTCACATGATCAGGAAAATATTTAGGGGTTTAGTATATGGGTGAGGGTAGATAGTAGAGAATTTAATTCTTACCTTACCGCCTATCTGTACTATTTGATTTTTTAACCATATGCCTATGTTCTGAAAAGCATAACAAAATATTTTTTAAACTCCACATAGAAATACATAGACAGTATTAGTCTAGAAAGATGTTCATTGACAGATATTAATATTATCATCTAAAATTATTAGATATCCAAGATATGAAATCATCTCAGAAGAAAATGTTCAGAAACACCCACCTGTGCATTTGCTTGATGATTTATGTGCTTGATCTGCCAATGGGATGTTACTTAGGTGATTAGAAATGTCACTTGTAAACCAGAAGGATAACACACAAAATAAAGGATATTATCAATATTTCAAGAAATCTAGCAAAATTCAAGCATGACACAACCCTTCTTTCCACAGTGAATGCTGCCCCAGGTGTGAATACAGCCTACTGTATTAAACTGTTACATCTGACTAATAAAAATGAACGTTGTAACTGGCAACGAGCGCCAAACTGACAGTGCAATATGGACTAAATGTGCATCTTTTCAATTCTATGTGAACATCCTTTAAAATAATGATACGTCCCAAACATCTCAAAACATAAACTAAGAATATGGCCCTTTAAAATATGATTTTGTTACTATTGATTGAAAAAAATTCATTTGCATGGAGATGTCGTTAAGCACAAGGAACATCATTTAACAGATATTTTTGAATATCTAGCTATGCAGGCCCTGCACTAAAAGCATAACTAAGTGTTAAGCACTTCTGGAGTCCAATAAAGGGAAAATCCCAATATGGGTAGAAATAACGGCAAACACATCAGGATTAAGTTAGAAACTGAGTTGGTCTTTAAGAGAAAATTGGGAGTTGTGCTAATGCAGAAGAGGGAAAGGTTAAATGCTCAGATGGTAGAGCAAGATAACTGAGTGGTAAGAGAGGGTAGTAACAATCTCAGCAGCTTAAAGAGAAGTGATACTGATAACTAATATAAAATACATTTGGATGGGGGAAGATAGTCTCAAATGTTAAACAAAAAATTTTAAGAAAAATATTGATTAACTGTAACATGATTAGCAGTTAAGACGCATCTAGCCATTTCCCTAGGGCAATGCTTCTCAAACACAAGTGGGCATCAGAATCACCTGGATCATTAAAACACAGATTGCTGGGCCCCACCCCCAGAGTAGCTGCTTCAGAACGTCTGAACTGGGTCCAAAGAATCTGCATTTCTACCAAACCTCCAGGTGATGCTGATGCTGCTGGTCCAGGGACCACATGTGGAGGAGTACCCAGAATAACTCTGAACACATCAAATCCTGAATCTCCTCATGCTCTGATTCCTCAGAGGACATGACACAGCAGAACACTAAGAAGAATGGCATCTTCACTTAATCCAAGACAGATGTAGGCCTGCCCAAGTCTGGTCTAAGACATCTCTTAAATACCAAGTTCTTCTCTTATACATTTACAGCTCTAAACTCTTCTGGAACTGATCTAAGAGAAGCAACCAATCTAGACCCAGGGAACTGGCCCCTGGCCCCATGTTAATCACCTCGCTGCCCAGTGAGGCTAATCCCTAGGGAATGAATGGCCCTAGGGCTTGACATAGACCTCTTCTGAACACCCTGAAACAAACCTCAAACTAGATCGTTCCTTGAGATGTTTCATTTAATGTCTGGAGTTCATCAGACCACACCTAACTTGAAACTGAACCAAAAGAAAATGTATTCTACTATGTCACTTCAGCAATTGTGTGTGAATGTATAACCACAAACCCCATAAATACCCCCAAATCCAAATCCAAATCCAAATAAATGCTAAGACCCAATGAAGGGTCACAGATAAGAATGCTGTAATGGCCCACCATCCCCAAAAATAGTCACTATGGAGGTCTTCTGGTCATTCTGCTAACTTTGAAATTTGCAGGCATACATAAGGCTGTCATAAGGAAACAGAACAGGCAAGGTGATTAAAGGCACAATGAACATTATACCTTCTAAGTGTCTAGATGTTGTGAAGGTATGTTACTAGATACGATTAACATTCAAATCAGCAGGCTTCAAATAAAGCAGATCACTCTCCATCATGCGGGTAGGTCTCATGCATTCAGTTGAAGGACTTTAGAGAAAAAACAGGTCCCCCAAGGAAGAAGGAATTCTGCCTGTAGACTGACCTGGGACTCAAGACTGCAGCACCAACTCTTCCTGGGGCCTCCAACCTGCCAGGCTGCCCTGCAGATTTCAGACGTGTCAGCCTCCACAACGTGCCTCAATCAATTCCTCTTTTTAAGATAAGTCTCTCTCACTGTCTCTCACTTGCTAGCTCTCTTGCACTCTGAGTGTGTATACACAAACACATGAAAATATCACATACATATACACATACACTCATCCTAGGGGGACCTGTTTCTCTGGAGAATCCTAATACAACCCCCTGCAGTTCAGAGCCTCCATTCTCTTACTTGAGAATGGCTAATTACCTCCATCTTTGTAACAGAAAAGGTCTCCCTCACCTTCAAAAGTAAGATTGCCTTTTAAAATGTATCAGACTTTAACAACACTTATATTCTATACCACTATACATAAAACTCAAGCAAAAGCACATTGTTTCAAGTGACTGAAAAGCCCCTCAGTATGGTTATGTGAACTGTACTATTCCATGGTGCATTTTGGTAGCACATACACTGTGAGGAAAGGTCCGGGGACTGACATCTTACCAAGCGCCTGTCCTGATCCAAACGCTCTTTGGAATCCATACTAAGCTTCCTTTTCCTGTTGGGCTGTTTCATTGCCACCTCTGCACTCCTTGGCAGTGGTTTTCTGTAAAACAGGGTCACATAAGAAGTTGGGGATGAGGGTATGACCCCTTCAGAATTACAGAAGAAAACAAGAAAACACTTTCAATGATACTTCTTATAATTTGTTGCTATTAAAAAAAAAAAACCTGATAAGTTGACAAAACTTTTGCAATTGGGTTTATAGCCCTTAATATAATAATAAGACAAGGGGGAGAAAATGCGGTTTTTGCCTCATCTAGAATTTATATTACTGCTTTTGGTCTTATCTGAGATCAAATGTTTGCTTTTTTGCTTAGCTGACCTAACCAATTAGGATTCACTGCAATCTGTCTACACAGCTTTTATACTCACATGGTCTGACAGGTATTCTTAGTAAGAGGTCTTAGTCACACAAGGCATAGCACAGCAATCTGAAACAGAAAATAATAAAAAATTTCACCAATCCAATTCATCATGACCATTCTTCTGTATATTAATAAGCAGTGGTAGGCATTCTTTGAAAAGTTATTTGAAATGAGTTTTTTTAAATAGAGCAGCTCAACTGTTTTGGAGAAGCAACTACCAACACCAAACAAGTTCCACTGGAGCTCATTCAAAAGTCATTCACTCTAAAATCATTTTAAAAATTGAAATGTAATTTTTTAAAACGTTTAATTACCCTAAATCAGCTATAGTCCCCAGTGTGTTAGGATGATATATCCAACTTCCTCATTGATATTTCCACCTGAACAATGACACTCCAGATACTGCAAATGTAACATATCTGCAACTGAGCCCATCTCCCTCCACACTGCCTCCCCATTCCAAGCTCTCCTCCTAATTGCACTGATTACTGGCCACCCATTTTCCCAGAGCTTCCTCTTACAGTTGTTCAGACTGTGCATCACCGAAGAGTACCAAGCCAAGGGGCAAGTGGAGGCTGAACTCCACCATGGGCTCTACACCCACGGTTCATCTGCCACAGGGCTGCATCATCCCAGGAGAAAATGTATCTTTTTCTCATTCAAACAATGCTACCTTCTGGGTAGTATCTGAGCCAGAGAACTAGGAGTTGCCATCATTTCATCCTTTATAACACACCCTACCAACTGCCATCAGGTTTTGTTGATTTTTAATTTTCTAAACCTTTATTGATTTGACCTTCTTCCTCTACTATTAACTCTGATCATTCTAATTTTATGTCATAGTCAATCCAAAGTTCTTAAGTTCTTTGCAAAGCAAGGTTCCTGCTATCTCTCTACTCCACACTTCTGCTGGTCCCTCAACCACTGAACATCTTCCCCATTGCTTGCCCTCCCTTTTTCAACTTACCTAATTCTAACTCGTCTTTTCCTTATTATTTATTTTACTTTCAGTGTATACTATATCTGGCATTTCTCCCCATGTTATCCCTCCCCAACCTCCCCTCCCTCCCCACCCCCTGTTGTCTCTCCCCTACCCCCCTCCCAACTTCCCCCAGTGTGTGATGCTCCTCTCTCTGAGTCCATGTGTTCTCCTTGTTCAACACCCACCTAAAAGTGAGAACATATGGTATTTGGCTTTCTGTTCTTGTGTCAGTTTGCTGAGAATGATCGTTTCCAGATTCACCCAAGTCCCTACAAAGGACATGAACTCACCGTTTTTATGGCTGCATAGTATTCCATAGTGTATATGTACCACATTTTCTTTGTCCAGTCTATCACTGATGGGCATTTGGTTGGTTCCAGGTCTTTGCTATTGTACACAGGGTAGCAATGAACATATGTGTGCATGTGTCTTTATAGTAGAATGATTTACAGTTCTTTGGGTATATACCCAGTAATGGGATTGCTGGGTCCAATGAAATTTCTATTTCTAGATCCTTGAGAAATTGCCACACAGTCTTCCACAATGGTTGAACTAATTTACACACCCACCAACTGTGTAAGAGTGTTCCTATTTCTCCATATCCTCTCCAGCATCTGTTGGTTCCAGATTTTTAATGATCACCATTCTAACTGTAGTGAAATGGTATCTCAGTGTGGTTTTGATTTGCATTTCTCTAATGACCAGTGATAATGAGCATTTTTTCATGTTTGTTGGACTTACATATGCCTTCTTTTGAAACATGTCTGTTCATATCCTTTGCTCACTTTTGAATGCGGTTGTTTGTTTTTTTCTTGTAAATCTGTTTTAGTTCTTTGTAGATTCTGGATATTAGTCCTTTGTCAGATGGGTAAATTGCAAAATTTTTTTCTCATTCTGTGGTTGTCAATTTGCTCTAATGATGGTTTCCTTTGCTGTACAGAAGCTCTGGAGTCTAATTAGGTCCCATTTGCCTATCTTGGCTTTTATTGCCATTGCTTTTGGTGTTTTAGTCACGAAATCCTTGCCTATGCCTATGTCCTGTATGGTTTTGCATATGTTTTCTTCTAGTGTTTTTATGGTGTTAGGTTTTATGTTTAAATCTGTGATCCATCTGGAATTAATTTCAGTGTAAGGTGAGGGTAGGGGTCCAGTTTCTGCTTTCTGCACATTGCTAGCCAGTTTTCCCACCATTATTTATTAAACATGGAGTCCTTTCCCCATTGCTTGTTTTTGCCAAGGTCTACCAAGGATCAGATGGTTGTAGATGTGTGGTGTTTCTTCTGGGGTCTCTGTTCTGTTCCATTGGTCTATGTCTCTGTTTTGGTACCAGTACCATGCTGTTTTGATTACTGTCGTCTTGTAGTATAGTTTGAAGTCCAGCAGTGTGATGCCTCTGGTTTTGTTATTTTTGCTTAGGATTGTCTTGGCTATGCAGGGTCTTTTGTGATTCCACATGAAGTTTAAAGTGGTTTTTTCCACTTCTGTGAAGAAGGTCATTGGTAGCTTGATGGGGAGAGTGTTGAATCTATAGATTACTTTGGGCAATATGGCCATTTTCACGATAGTGATTCTTCCTAACCATAAGCATGAAATGTTTCTCCATCTGTTTGTGTCCTCTCTTATTTCATTGAGCAGTGGTTTGTAGTTCTCCTTGAAGAGGTCCTTTACATTCCTTGTTAGTTGTATTCCTAGGTATTTTATTCTCTTTGTAGCAATTGTGAATGGGAGTTCACTCTTGATTTGGCTCTCTGTTATTGGTGTATAGGAATGCTTGTGATTTCTGCACATTGCATTTGTATCCCGAGACTTTGCTGAAGTTGCTTATCAGTTTGAGAAGATTTTGGGCTGAGATGATGGGGTCTTCTAGATATACAATCACGTCATCTGCAAATAGAGACAGTTTGACTTCCTTCTTTCCTAATTGAATACCCTTTATTTCTTGTTCTTGCCTGAGTGCTCTGGCTAGAACTTCCAATACTATGTTGAATAGGAGTGGTGAGAGAGGGCATCCTTATCTAGTGCCTGATTTCAAAGGGAATTCTTCCAGTTTTTGCCCATTCAGTATGATATTGACTGTAGGTTTGTCATATATAGATTTTATCATTTTATGATACATTCCATCAATACCTAGTTTATTGAGAGTTTTTAGCATGAAGGGCTACTGAATTTTATAGAAGGCTTTCTCTGCATCTATCAAGATAATTATGTGGTTTTTGTCTTTGGTTCCATTTATATGATGGATTACATTTATGGATTTGCATATGTTGAACCAGCCTTGCAACCCCAGGATGAAGCCTACTTGGTCGTGATGGATAAGCTTCTTCATGTGCTGTTGTAATCTGTTTGCTAGTATTTTATTGAAGATTTTTGTCTCGATGTTCATCATGAATATTGGCCTGAAGTTTTCTTTTTTAGTTGAGTCTCTGCCTGGTTTTGGTATCAGGATGATGTTGGTCTCATAAAATGAGTTAGGGAGGATTCCCTCCTTTTGTATTGTTTCATACAGTTTCAGAAGGAATGGAACCAGCTCCTCTTTCTATGTCTGATAGAATTCAGGTGTGAACCCATCTAGACCTGGACTTTTTTTGGTTGGCAGGCTATTGATTGCTGCCACTACTTCAGCCCTTGTTATTGATCTATTCAGTTTAGTCTTCCTCCTGGTTTAGTCTTGGTAGAGTACAAGTGTCTAGAAATTTATCCATTTCTTCCTGGTTTACTATTTTATATAAGTAGAGCTGTTCGTAGTAATCTCTGATAGTAGTTTGTATTTCTGTGGGATCAGTAATGATCCCCATTATCATTTTTAATTGCATCTAATTGATTCTTCTCCTTTTTCTTTTTTATTAATCTGGCTAGTGGTCTATTTTGTTGATCTTTTCAAAAAAGCAGCTCCTGGATTTATTGATTCTTTGAAGGGTTTTTTGGTGTCTCTCTCTCCTTCAGTTCTGCTCTGATCTTAGTTATTTCTTGTCTTCTGCTAGCTTTTGAGTCTGTTTTTTTTTTTTTATCTTGCTCCTCTAGCTCTTTCAATTTTGATGGTAGGATGTTGATTTTAGATCTTTCCTCTCTTCTCTGGTGGGCATTTATTGCTATAAATTTCCCTCTTAACATTGCTTTAAAGGTGTCCCAGAGATTCTGGTAAGTTGTGTCTTCATTCTAGTTGGTTTTGAAGAACATCTTTATTTCTGCCTTCATTTCATTGTTTATCCAGTAGACACTCAAAAGCAAGTTGTTCAGTTTCCAAGTGGTTGTTCGGGTTTGAGTATGTTTCTTGATCCTGAGTTCTAGTCTGATTGCACTGTGGTCTAATAGACTTTGTTATGATTTCTGTTCTTTTGCATTTGCTGAGGAGTGATTTGCTTCCAATTATGAGGTCAATTTTAGAGTAAGCACAATGTGGTGCTGAGAAAAATGTATATTCTGTGGATTTGGGGTGGAGTATTCTGTGTATGTCCATTAGGTTCACTTGGTCCAGCTCTGCATTCAAGTCCTGGATATCCTTGTTAATTTTCTGTCTCATTGATCTGTCTAATATTGACAGTGGAGTGTTGAAGTCTCCCACTATTATTGTGTGGGGGTCTAAATCTCATTTTAGGTCATTAAGAACTTGCTTTATGTATCTGGGTGCTGCTGTGTTGGGGGTGTATTTGTTTAGGATAGTTAGCTCTTCCTGTTGGATTGATCCTTTTACCATTATGTACTGTCCTTAATTGTCTCTTTTGATCTTTCTTGGTTTGAAGTCCATTTTATCAGAGACGAGGATTGAACCCCCTCTTTTCTGTTCTTCAATCGCTTTGTAAATCTTCTTCCATTCCTTTACTTTGAGTCTATGTGTGTCTTTATATGTGAAATGGGTTTCCTGAATACAGCACACCAATGGTTTCTGACTTTTCATCCAGTTTGCCAGCCTGTGTCTTTTAATTGGGGTGTTTAGGCCATTTACATTCAATGTTAATATTGTTATGTGTGAATTTGATCCTGCCATTTTGTTACTGGCTGGGTTTCTTTCCCATTAGTTGACTCATTTTCTTCATTGCATTTTTGGTCTTTGACAACTGGTTTGCTTTTGCAGTGACTGGTACTT